GCTGCGGATACAGATCTTCGAAAGCGAACACAACCTCAAGGCGCAGTTCGACTCCTTGATGCAACAGCAACTAGTGAGCTTTGCTGTGCACCGTTTTTAAAGTTCTTGATTTAAAGCAGTGCTGGTTAGGCGAACGCCCTCGTCTTGCTATTTTATGCAGGCAGTCTATAGGCCTTCCGAACTTTTTTTTAACGCCACATACAATACCATACAGTAAGGCCAAGTAAGAGAAACAGCTGGTCGCGTATATTAAAATCCTGCCATGGTTAGCATTCTAGAATCATATTCTTTGAGCTTGCCACATTGGCCGAAGGCTGTTACCGATCAAACGCTTATGTAGAGCTGTTGCTCTCACACTCAACAAGGAATAACGACTAAGGAAATGATTCAGTAGGATCATCGAGCAGAAAGGAGCCAAAAATATTTCGTTTTTGAACAGGTTGGATCAGTCTTAATGCATTCTTTTTCATCGACGACGCCATTGAAAGACTGTTTTATAAGATGCTCGACCATCGTCCTGTCATGGACAACAGAAGTGGAATGCCGTCAGTCACTTTTCTTGTATTTAATGTGACCACATTTATATTTTAAAGATTTAATCAAAGCCATTTTGCCTATCATTCTGAAGTTGTGGCGCACAAACGAAAAGCTCTCACGGTGGTCGATTGATGCCATATTAGACTCCTTGATTAAGGTGTCGCTTCGCGTAGCCGCCAGCCGAGGCAAACCTGTATCGGTTGTGTTATATGTCAAAGGACACTTCTGGGTGTGTGTAGGGTAGGGGGTGGAAAGTCATTACTTCTTAAGCTCATACCAATGCTGTCTCATGCATGATTTGAAACCGTCAAGTCTATGACTTGCCGCATGAAAACTGCTGACCGTGGAATCGAAACAGCGATCAGCAGGAAATTAATTTGTCGCCTCTTTAGCAAAGCTCGAAGTGTTCTGTTTGTCACTTCAAACACCAACTGACTTGATGGTGCTTTATATGTTCTCTAGTCGGTGATCATGACCAATGCACTTCCCGTCGTTGGGCTAAATAAAAATTATGTTTAATTTTTTCGTTCTATTCCACATGAAAGCAGACGACGTATAGATTTCATATGTGTATTTTTCCAAAGATTGAATGTTTCTTTATTGCGTTTGTGGCCATACTGAAAAAGAGCATAAAATACAGTTTTTTATACATAGCGCAAAAATATACGCCCAGTCACAGATGGCCGGTATTGCCGTTTGGGCCCATGTCTTAAAGGTAAGGAAGTTGGTTCTCTTATTTTGAAAGTCCTTCCTTTGCCTTCAGTTGTGGTACGTGGAGAGCCAGTTTGCAAACTTTTTACCCCTGCTGCTGTTTAAATACTTTCTTGGCGGCAAGATTTGGGAAATTTGTTTTCCTACGGGTACTTTTTGGTTTGTTCGAAGAACTCCTCATCGATGAATGAATAGTTCTCCTCTGCTATGCATAACGTTTTGAAATTTAACTTAGACATGAAGACGTTTAAGTGAATTATCTCCTTGATGAAGTTCATCAATTATCGTAATACTGGGGTAAACAGAAACATAGCCAGTGAGTATTTGACGTCGTAACTGACGGAATAATAATGCTCCGTTCAGCTGCCTTAATCTCCTTCAGTTCCTTGCAGAACTCGCGGGAATTTTGGTGAATGGCGAGTTTTTTTCAGTTGGAGATCTGAGTATTTTTGCAGTCAATTTCCAGGCCTCTGCGACGATACAATTCTCCAGTTGAAGTGAAACAGTAGGTCTGCAGGAAAGATTTGGTTTATATAAAGTTAACTGCAGTAAAATATTATGCTGTCTCAAACTCAAGAATTCAAGTATTTTGTTTCCGTCCTTCAAGCCAATTGGAAAATCAGCAGCGAATTAAGAACTTTTTTGTTAAAGGAAGTGGTTCAAGTGGAATGATGTGAATGGCATACCGTTCGATAAGAAGATCCCCACCAAGCTAAAGGGAATGGTGTACAGAACCACTGTAAGATGTTTGTGAATCGGAAAGTTTGGTTACCTTGAACAGAGTCGGGCAACAGCTGAACTCCGTAGAAACACGAATGTTCACATTAATTTTGTATCACCGAAAAGGATTGCATCCGCATTACCTTCATAGAAAGCATTTTAATTGTGAAACGAATTTTAAAAAGGCTTATCGAAAACAATTTTTGTTGGTTCTGCCTCGTAGAAAGAAGATTTTTCTGGTTAGTTGGAAATGTGGTCCAATCAGTGATACTCTCAGAATAAAAGGTAGGGAAGACCAAAGAAATGGTGGCGCATGATCGGCCACTTTTAAATGGAACATGCTTACAAAATGAAGAAAGCAGATATCAGTTATGTTCTTCCGTAAATGTTTACACGCATTAGCCGATTGCCCTTAGTTGTATCGTAAATTATTTGGTCCTTCTCACCCCGCAGCTGTAAACACGTATTACACGGTTGTAAAATCTTATTATCCTATTTTTGATCGTATGTACTTTGAGTTTCTTTATCCTGTTTTAAACCAAGCTGTGATCTGGT